GGCTGGGAGTTGAGTCATAGAACATGGTGCTCTTGGATATGAGAGATGGGCTGCCAACAAGGCTATTACTTAATGTATATAGTCACAAGAAATCAATGACGGATTATCAGAGACAGAGGGCAATATCTCAGTAAGAATCACAATTCCGTGCTCCGTTTCCGGATCAGATTGGAACCCACTGACTGAAGGGGCTGATTCTTTAGAAGTCAGGACCCTTTCATACCAGGGCAGATATATTCATTTGTTATTCTCTTGGTACTTAACCAGGGGAGTTAAGACTAGTTACTCAGGTAAATGTGCTATGTGGGGAAAGAGGAATCCTCAGAACTTTTGAAGATTGTTGAACATTGGTTCTGAATTTACACAAATCCCTGGAGACGCAATAAACCAACATGGCTCCCTATAAAAGGGAGGGGGATATAAGGGCCATCAGAATCCTCGCCAAAGTCTGGTTCTCAGAGGGCCCAGTAGTCTATTGACTAATCTGCTGGTTTTACCCCTAATCTCCAAATGCATAATTGAAAGGGACACCCTAATCTCCAAATGCATAATTGAAGAACCCTCACAATGATTCCTTGATTTCTTGAGTAAGAGCTATTGTAGTGAGGAGGTGCAAGTTGAACTTTCTGAAACTTGCTAACCCAGAGAAAAGAGTGAATTTCCAAAGAGGATGGAGTAAACTAATGAAACTTTCGGAGAGTTGAATATTGTGATAACTCCTACCATATCCCACGTATTTCATCAGGTCAGCTCCTGCAAAGATCAAATAGAACATGGCAGGTGGTAAGACAGGAGACCCAGCTGCAGCTACTGTGCTCAGTGTATTTTTTACTTGTTTGGTTTTGGTTTTGTTTTGCTAGAACAGGTTACAATAGGCTCCAGCACTTGATCTAGCAAATGTTTCTAGCCACACTTATGAGGAAGGAGAGGTGGATGCTATTGGCATTCCCATGGGATAAACGATGGTTTATGATCTTGCCGTCAAGTCTACCCAAGTTTCTTATACCCTTTACCAAGATGTGATCTAAAATAATCTGGATTTTATGGGCATTCTGTAAAATGTCATATTGATTGACCATACGATCAACAACATGTAATAGAACCAGATGAGAGATATGGGGCCAGTATGTTGGAGGTCTTGGTTTATACATAATATATATGCCAAACTCTAAGGTTTATACACTATAAACCTCAGAGAATAGGTAGTAAATCTTACAAAGGTTCATAAGACTTTTGATTACAGACAAGATGGGGTAGACACATTCTGCCTACTCCCCCCACTAAAGAGTTTATCAAACATAATAAGGCCCTAAAAGTTGAGGGAGGCAAGGCAGATCAGGCAGAAACCTCGAGATCCAAGGAATGACATTACAGCTATTTCCCTGGCTTCCCCCACCCCCAACTCCCCTTATGTATCCCAGACTGAGCAGTAGAGAAATCAGCAACCTGGAAATGCCAATGGATATAACCATCATCACCATAACAAAAACTACTTGGTTTCCCATTTTTCTCTTTTGGTAAATGGCTTGTGGTGTTTGAGAAGTAGTGGCAGTGAGATTGGGGGAAGAGGGTGGGAAGGGTGGTGGAGGTTAAGAAGGATTCAAATTATAACCTGACGATCAACAAATTTTAGCTGTATTTTATGATTTGGTCTTATCAGTTATCTCCTATGTAGAGCTAATCATCAGGTGATAGGTCAATCATCAAATGAGCTTTCCAGGCAAAAATTCATTTTCATTGACTTTATAACTTAAAAATCTATTGGCCGGGGTGCCTGTGTGGCCCCGAATTGGGCTCTCTGCTCAGCAGGGAGCCTGTTTCCTCTCTCTCTCTCTGTCTCTCTGCCTACTTGTGATTTCTGTCTGTCCAATAAATAAAGAAAATCTTTAAAAAAAAAAATCTATTGGCCAACTTCAGAAACAAGTGAATTGAAATATCTTAACCTCATTTAAGTGGAATGTTCTGTCCCACTTAATAAACTAAGATAAATTATTTATTATTAAGTTAAACTTAATTCCTTTGAAGTCCATACAGTAAATCAACCATATACAATTTTATTACAGTGTTTATTGTTTTATTGGCAATTGAATTACTTGAAGGGATGTAAGTCAATTCATTGAAAAATAGAGACACTGTGAAACTGGAAAGCATTTAAATTAAGAAATGTTGAAGCACATGAAAAGTGAATGTGAAAATGGACCAAACTCAAGGCAAGTTCTGGCTTGTCCATGCGACAAGGGTGGTGCCCTGGCCATTCCAAGGAAGATGAACTTGTATTTGCAGCAGTTTCTCAACACTTCCTCATTCAATTTTTCTTATTCAAAGAACACAAAGAGAAGAGCTCAAGATTTCTGTCTTCAGCTGCTGAGTACTCTCTAAGAGGCTTAGAAATCACCCAAGACCAGGGTTGAGAGCCATCCCCATCACCTCTGCTCCTTGAATGCCTGATTCTGATTCTCTTTGAAGACGCCAGGTCCCAGAGGAGGTTGCATGTCGTAGGCTAAGGGTTGAACTCACCATGACGGGACACATGCCCTCTGAACACACAGTGCTCCCTTCACGGCCCACGGAAACAAATGCTGAATCCCATTTTTATCGCACATCACACCAGGATCACAAAGAATCCTAGAGTATCTTTATTTGTTCTATAATTTAATAGTACACCTATAAAATAATTACATTATACTTAGAGCTTTTCTTCATTTATAAACAAACCAAAAAACAAAAACAAAAACAATTAAATACAATTTGAGCCATTATAAGGTAAACTTTGTACATAGAAGAACCCCCAGAAGGAGCTTAACCCTGCAGCATATCATATTGTTTCCATTGCTACACCCACAACTGGGTTCAAAGAGAGTGTACTCATGTGTGTATTCTGTGAGTTCATAGCTTAATCCTTCCTCTATCTGCGTGGGTTATGTGTTAATAAAATGACAGGGTTGGCTTTGCAGTCAGCTAGAGGATCCCATCCACTCCCAACCTCCTCTACTCCACTGGCCTCCATTTCAGTCATGTGGGCCTCCTTCCTTCACAGCTTTTCTGCCGTGTGTCCTGCACTGCGTCTAACTTGAGGTTTTCCAATTCAGGCAAAAATAAATTCTCAACTTGGACAAGCTCTCTGCTCTTTCTTCCCATCCCAAGGTTCCAGCCTTAGAGGATTTCTGTTGAGTTCTGCCTCCTGATGGAGGGCTGTCTATCCCCCATTTCTAAAACCAATACCCCCTTTTACAGCAGCATACTGTGCTCCGGGTCTCATGGAGTTACGGGGTAGACAGAAATGAAACCTGCAGTTCAGGGGCAGGAAAGAGATTCAGGGACACGCCACACCTCGCTCTCCAGGTGAATGCCCCTAGACCCCCCATCAGAAAGCCTCAGTTCCCCCAAGCAGTTTGTAGAGGGTCTCACAAACCTGGAGTGGGCCTTTCTGAGTGCCCTTGGCAGTAGCACATGAGACTTGGTGCTCAGAAACGACCAATGAAAGGTTTTCAAAGTTTGCTGATTCCCACCAATGGCATCTCATTCACATTCATCAGATTCCACAAACGCTACTCACAGGGAAGACTCGGGGGGGGGGGGGCAATTTAGCAAAGGGACACAAGGTAAGTATAATTTTGCAAGAAAATAAATTATGTCAGCTTTCTTACACTAAGAGACCTCAACGTATAATCCTCAACGATTCATTATAAACATGAAACGTAAGCTGATGTTTGATCGTCCTTTAAAAAAAAGAGAAGTCCATTCTTGGAAAACGAAACTCCTGTAGGATAGCTTAACTAGATTTCTAGTCTATATATTTTATTTTTTATTTCCTCCTACAGCACAAAGTGACCTGATTCCTTGTATGTTTAAATAGTTCTCTCTTTTAGCAGGAAATATTTTTTGTTTCGTGTCACGGCAGTAAAGTGGTACAGCTTCTCAGGGCACATACGACTATTGAACATCACAGGGCTTTTAAGTTCCCTGTGAAAGACTCCCCAGTGAGTCCCCTCCCTACACCCATCTGTCCCAACCCACTTCCCACATTGTGCTGCGATGATTTATTTAGTACCTTCAGTGAAACAGTTTTCACCGTAAGATCACAATGTGAGATCACCTGCCATCTCCCTGCCCAATGTAAGACTAGGTCCTGGCCAGTGGACTGCTGACCGGGCATTATTCCTGAGCTCAACCCTGCCGAGCCTTACTCAGAACCGTGCTGCAAAGCCGGAGTCCAAACTCGTGAGACGATACATGGATAGGTCTATAGCGCTTCTGCACAGCCCTTTACAATACAGGTCAGTTACAAAACCAGCGTTAATTCGGAGGCCGTTGTGTGTAATAATATTCTAATTGCAGCGATAATAGCATGCACACCGGAGTTCATCGGAGTCCACGGGTGGGGGGAGGGGGGTGAGGAAGAAGAGGTGGTGGTGGCTGGGGGTGGGGGAGAGGGCGGCCTGCTGTGAGCAAGGTCCCCAGGGAAGCCCATTTCATGATCCCAGTGGCTCAAGTCGTCTTCTCGGGTAGCGGGTAGCCGGCTGGTTAGGAGAACCTCCCCTCCGCGCGCGGGGACGCGGTCCAGGCCCGCATCGCCGCCGCGCGGGGACGGCCCCCCTTCACCGAGTGAGGCTCCCCCGGGCCCCGCGGGACAGGGCCGAGCGCCGCATCCTTCACTTCCGCGCGACGGGAGCTGGAGTGTCGGGGGAGGCCAGGGAAAGCCGGGCTTTTCCACATGGTGGAAACATCAACGCCAGCCTGGCCGCGCGGCCCCCGAAGGTCCTCTCCGGCCGCCGGCTGGCGCGGAGCGGGTTTCCAGCCGCGTCGCTCGGGCCCGGAGCGCAGCGCGTTGGGGGCGCGCAGTGGGGGCGCGCGGGGGTCCCGCGATCGGCCGGACGCGGCGGCGAAGCTCCGCTTGGGAGCCGCGCGGGCAGCGGAGGGGCCACCGGGCCGCGCCGCGCGGGCTCCGAGGACGGGGACGAAGGCGGCGGCGGCGGCGGCCCGGGGAGCGCGCGCGCGGGGAGCCGCGGGGGCTTCACTGCTTGTCCGAGTCGCTCAGGTTCACGGACATGCACCGGCACTGCTTCACCTTCTGGATCTTCTTGAGTCGGAAGGGAGGGTCCATGCCGGGGCACTCGAGCTCCACGAGGACGGAGGTGACGCGCTGCGGCTTGCAGAAGGCGCACGACTGGAAGGACTCCTCCTCCTTGCGCACGTGGCGCGGGATGTAGAAGGAGTTGCACTGGCCGTAGCAGAAGCGGTTGAGGACCGTGCGGCTGCGGCAGCCGTCCTCGCTCACCGTCTGCCGCAGCGGCTGCGTCTTGCACCAGTCACTCTTGAGGTACTTGCGCTCGGTGACCACCAGGGCCTCCTGGCTGGAGGCCAGCACCTCCTTGATCTGGTGCTGCCATCTCTCCGAGTGGTTGCTGCTGCCGTCCTTGTAGGGCGACGGGATGGCGCCCGCCGGCCGGTTCTTCCGGGCCTCGGCCGCCTTCAGCAGCACGGCCGCCAGGCACAAGGACAGGGAGAGCTTCCAGAACATCCTGCGAACGAGAGAAGAGTGAGAGGGGTTGGCTGGGGCGCCGCTGGTTTCGTGAGAGGAGCTGCTGTCGGGTGCGGCGGCGGCAGGGGAGAGGGCCCGGAGCCCCTCCGGACGGCGGGGACGGCGGGGACGCCCTCCGAAAGGCGACGCGAGGCGCGAGGGGGCGAGCAGAAAAGAACACAGAGCGCTCACAGGGGTGGACGACAGAAGAACGCCAAGGCGACGGTCGCCAACGATAGCCCACGCCCGCCGGCCGCCGTGCCAGCCATAGCGACTGCGCTTCCCTGCATCCTCATTTAGCGGGTGACAAGTCCTGCCCCACGCACATCACGTGTTTTCCTCATGGGATCCTCAAAACACGCCTAAGTTGGCTGTTATTATACCTACATTGCAGGGAAGCTGAGGCACGCAGACGTTAGGAATTGGCCCACGGTCGCACAATCGCTAAGGAACGCCCAGGAGTCACGCGCCTGTCTCCGGAGCCACCAAAAGGAGACACGGATCCGCTCAGGAGGATCCGCAAAAAGAAAAGGCAAGCGGGGTGGGGCGTGGTCACAAGTTTCTTTAAAATAAGTATTAACCTACGAATGGACACAGACCCGGGAAAGTAATATTTACACCTCTGGTAATTGTTAGGAATGGAGAAGTACATTGAACCTCTGCGCAAAGATATTCAAGTTAATTCAGGAGAGTCATGAAGTAGAGTCTAGGAGCGGAAACCACTTCCCAGTCGTGAATTAAGGACTCTCCAAGGCCCTTATTAAAACGGCCTTAGAGAACCCAACGGTAACCGCATGAATAGATTCTGCCTTCTGTGCATTAGGGCCTCATGACCCAAGTGTGCAGGGATGGGAGCTTGAGAGGAGCTTCCTTACAATCAGGTCTTGTAGGAAGCAAACCAAGTCTGCCTGAAAGATGGACTTCTTTGAAGCTTAATTCAGTTCCCATTGCTACATTTCCATTAATCCCTCCAGGGACAGCAATACCCTCCCCCGCCTCCCCAGCAAAGATGATCTCTATCTGCTGAGGACCGCAGCTCCTTCATTACCCTTGTCATCCTCGCCACCATATTCACGTTTATTCATTGCTTCCCTGGATATCTTACCACCTCGAGAACTGCACGAGACTCTCGTTCCTTTCACATGCACACACCAAAATGGCATGTAGAAACTACATATATATCATTATATAGTTCTATAATGCGTACTACACATTTATATTTAATTTTTATTTAATATTAAATTTATATTTATATAACATAAATATATAATTATAATAATATAATTTATATAAATATAAATAAATTTAATACTAAATATATTAACCCCCCTGAACTATTATCAATGTCTTACATATGTTTCTGCTAATAATAATAGTTAGTATTTATTGGTGTTCAAAACCCATCCCTCTTACAGTTTCTTTTCATGTATAAACATATCAGTTCTATGAAATAGGTATTAATATTTCTCCCACTTTATGGATTAGGAAACTGAGGCATGGAGAGGCTTCACAACTTACCAAGATCATATGTCCAGTATGTGAAATATTTGAATCCTGGCTCCAGGTGAGGGTAGCTATACTATAGCTAAAAATATTTGTGTTAAGGGGTACCTGGGTGGCTCAGTTGGTTAAGTATCTGCCTTGGGCTCAGATCATGAGTCCAGGGTGCTGGGATTGAGCCGTATGTCTGGGCTCCCTGCTTAGTGGGGAGTCTGCTTCTCCCTCACTCTGTCCCTGCTTGTGATCTCTCTCTCACACTCACTCACTCAAAATCTTTAAAAAATTTTGTGTTAAAATATCTATTCTAAAATATTCCTATATGTCATTATTGTTAATCTAAGTGTAAACCACAAGAGGCTTTTGGAAACCACACAGCAGAGAATTCCTTCATTTGTCAAGTTTCACTGAGTATTTATTCTGGAACAAACTCTGATAAGCCTTGAGAATTCCAGTACCTCCCTCAGAGACAAAGAGAAAGTTCTTCCAGAGTCGGACGAGCCCTGACAAGATCTGCTCTCCCTGTTCTCATCCCATGGACCTCCTCATCGACACTCTCCTACTTGCTCTGCTCCGGCAACCCTGCTCACCTTTCTGTTTCCAGAAGGTATGTGGCATTTTTCTGCTCTAGGGCCTTACGTTTGCCTTCCCCCTGATGTTGACATGGCCTTCTACCACCGTCTTCAAGTCTTTGCTCAATTATCGCCACCTTGGGTAAGGCCTTCATGGGTGACTTCATCACAGCCCTGCCATTCACTGTCTCCTTCATCCCTGCTTTGTTTTCCTCCACGGCACTTAGCATCCCATAAGAGAGTACTGAAAGATCTGATGGATTTTTGCATTGTCTGACTTCTGCAACTGGAATATAAGGTCCAAGAAAGAAGGACCACCTGTTTAACCACACTGTATGTCCTGCACTCGGAACAGTGACTGGTACAAAGTAGATACTCAATAAATACGTGTTGAAGGACACACAAATACCATGCCTTTCGGCATGTAGAGTATGCAGGCACAATGGGATAGGTTTGCACAGCCAAGAACATCTGAACCACTGGGATGCTTTAGGATGTAGATTCCTCAGCTCCACCCCCAAAAGACCCCCAAACCAGCAGAGTCGAGGTGGAGTTTGAGATCTGTGTTTCAAAGAACTGCTTCCAGTGGCTTCCACGGGCCAGTGCCGCAGGGGATGGTGGGGGCACAGGGAAATAACATCGGTTCCTCCTGGACAGGGAATAGGAGAGGCCCAGGAAGTAACAGCTAACGAGTGTCTTAAACTCCAAATAGGATTCTTCCAGGCGGTGACACTGCCAAGAGGGCAGAGTTAGGTAAGTGTAATGACAAGAGGCAAGAGAAGTAAAAATATTGAGAACAGAGGAGGGAAAAAGGGAAAGGTTTTCTTTTTTTGCAAAAGCATTTTTGGGCAATACAATTACTGAGTACAATACTGAATACAATTACTGAAATGTTGAGGCCGAACTGTTAAAAAACTTTCCTCATGCCTCCTTAGTGACACACATGAATTGTCACATGAAAATGGCCACGCTCCCAGCAGATTCAGGGCAAGCACTGAGTATTGGACTCATTCAACTTATACAGATTATACTTGCAGAATGATTTGTGATCTCAATAGTCTCTTAAAAAGAAAGTATGTTGGTTCCATTTTAATAATTTCTAAAATTATTAACATTCTGAAAAAACACAACCAAAAGTTTGCAAGTCCCAGCCAGGAAAGATTTATAGAGTCAGCCTGGTCCTCAACCCCCCTAGTTCCAGGAACAGCTTCACAGGCATCTTTGATAGGGTCAACGATTCGTGCTTTTATTCAACAGGTCCTAGCTGTTGTCAGGGAGAACAGAATTAAAACATGTTTCGATCAATTTGGGGCAAAAACTCTCAGATTCACAGTATTAGATGTGATGATTAACAACATGCCTTCTTTGAACGCTTTGAAACATTTTCACAACATCTGGCAATCACCCGGAGAAGTTATTCTTCCCAAGAACCTAGGAGGAAAGCAAACCTCCCATTTGTAAGAGCAGGAAAAGAGGCTGATGATATCGCTTGGTGACTGGGGCCAACTGGGAGTTTCCTTCCCTCCATCTTGTTTCTTTACTCCTTCACACAAAGCAACAGGAACGTTGCCAAGGATCTGGAATCTTCATGTCAGGACAGGCAAGGAGGCAAGAGGTATTTTGCTGGAGTGACCATTATGCTTTTCACTCCAATCAAGGGCACCAAAGCAACTGAGTTTTTGCTCACAGCGCATCTCCTCTAGCCCTTATGTATGCGGGGGTCCTCAGGGGAGTGAACATGCATGCCTCTTTCTTCAGCTGGCTAACCCGCTCTCACACACACACTCGCACACACATGTCAGTGGCCCCACCATACCCTGAATTTAGCCCTCAGAGTCTTCCTTTGCCTTGAATCACTTTGCTACTCAGAGAAATGGTTCACATACAATTAACCTCTCAGGAGCGTTGCCATAATAGTTGGTACCACAGCACGAATATCTTTCATTTTATCCTCACATCTTGTGTTTGGCTTGTCTCAGAAGAAACTCGTAAATAATTCCTTTTGGTTTTATTAACTATCCTTGGGGGCTGACAATGTTGTCAGTTTGCAAGGGGTGCCAGGACCGTAAATGCTGATCTGCTAAGCAGTGTGGGTTGGTCAAAGTGGGTTGGGTAGAGAGAGAGGAAGCAAAAACACTTTCCTTTTAAGTAATGCCCTGGGGCCCGGGCTTTCTTGGTGTCAGAACAGGGCTGCACAGGTCAGGATAGTACAGAGGCAGCTAAAGGATCACTGGCCCTTTTCTAGAACATCAGCCTTTTCTAAAGCGATAGGCTTTTGAGTCGTAATGCCTCCTAAGTTCTAGGAAAGGCTGTGGCAGTGCTGGATCCTCCCTGCCAAAAGGTTTAAGTGACTGAAGGCCGAGGGTTCAGCTAAGCTGATTAACTCACTCCCAGCTCGACCTTGTTGGGTTTTAGAGGTCAGGTCCAGGCAGTGCCGGGCTGTGCATGAGTGGCGAATGGGAGGAAGCTTAAACATTTTCTGTGATCTAAGAAAGAATTCTGCACATCCTGGGCAGGTTGGAGGGAAGGGCCCAAGGCTGCACATGGACAGGCACATCTGGGATAAACCTGCTCCCACGGCCCAAGGGAACACAGAATCCGAATCCAGCAGCGAATAAAAGCCCCTTGACAGTGTTAGAATGCCACGATTATTTTTATGAATTTTACTACTAGAACCTCAACAGCCAAAGATACTTCATCCGTGACATGGAGCCTTTGTTTGGGAGGTTGTGGCTGAGCTCTCCAGCTAGAGGTGCACGTTCCTTGGCTCAGGGAGCACCCGCTGACTTTCAGCAACTGTCATCTGCAGCCCGCAATGGCCCGATGGGCTGATCCCAGCCTGCACCCTGTTTCCGTAAATAAGGTTATACTGAACACAGCCGTGCCTGTTTAGTTCCATTTTCTTCATGGCTGCTTTTGGGTTACAAAGACA